AGCCTGCGGGTTCGAGACCCCACTGGGCAGCGAGACCTCATCTCTACAATAAATCAAAAAATCAGCCGGGTGTGGTAGTGCATGCCTGTAATTCCGGCTACTCAGAAGGCTGAGGCGGAAGGATCGCCCGAGCCCAGCAGTTCAAGGCTGCGGTGGCCGGAAGCGGCCACTACACTCCAGTCTGGGCGACAGAGTGAGACTCCGACTCAAAAAAAGAAAGAAAGAAAGAAAGAAAAGCGGTTAGTTGTGCTCGAGCACCTGCTTTCCTGAAGGGGAGGCAGAACATGAAAATGGGAAGACCGCGGGGTTGAGTTACCTTGAGCAAGTCCCATATGCACGTCTCAGACTATATTTTCACTGTAAAATAAAGATGCCAGTCTGTGTGCTTTATGAATGCCACTCATTAAATGCCTGCCTTGGGTTGGTACTGCATGAAACATTTCATATAAGTTAGCTTATTATTTCCCGTGTCAGGCCCATGTGGTAGTTGTGTTAACCTCTTTCTGATAGAGAATGTCCCAGCACTGTATGAAGACTTTAATAGAAACTAGTGAAATAAAAGTGATTTGTATACTGTAAAACACTATTTTTTTTTAAAAAAAACTTTTTATATATGGCATTTAGGAAATGTTTACATGGATATATGGGAAGAAGGCCTTAGGAGATAATATGACAGCACTTTAGAAAAAGTGATTCAGAACTAATGAATTTTTTTTTTTTTTTTTTGAGTCAGAGTCTCACTCTATTACCCAGGCTGAAGTGCAGTGGCATGCTCATGGCCACCACAGCTTCCCTGCTGGACTCAGGTGATCCTTCTGCCTCTGCCTTCCAAGTAGCTGGAACCACAAGCATGTGCCACCATGCCCGGCTAAGGGTTTTTAATTTATTATAGAGATGAGGTCTCGCCATGTTGCCCAGGCTGGTCTTGAATCCCTGAGCTCAGGTAGTCCTCTTGCCTCTGCCTCCCAAAGTGCTGGGATTATAGGTGTAAGCCACTGTGCCCAGCCAGAATTAATGAATTTTTTTTTTGAGTTGGAGTCTCACTCCATCGCCCAGGCTGGAGTGCAGTGGCACACTCACAGCCACCCCAGCGTCGACCTGCTGGGCTCTGACGATCCTTTTGCCTCAGCCTTCCAAGTAGCTGTAATTACCGGTTACTATTCCCAGCTAATTTTTGATTTATTGTAGAGACGAGGTCTTGCCAAGTTGCCTGGACTGGTCTCGAACCCATGGGTTCAGGCAATCCACTTGCCGTGGCTTACCAAAGCGCCGGGATTACAGGCTGAGCCACCAAGCCTGACCTGAATTTTTATTTATTTACTTATTTATTTATTTACTATTAATTTATTTATTTGTTATAAAGATGTGGGGTACAATTCAGGGTTAGGTATATAAACATTGATCATGCAGGTACCCTTGTTGATGAGGTATGCCCCTCCCTCCCCTAGGAGTTTCCCTCAACTGCCAGTCCTATCCCCCTCCCCTGACAGTTTTCCACTACTGCCAATCACTTTCTTATAGCATTATAATTGTTCAAGGTCACCTTATGAGTGAGAACATATGAAACTCAGTTCTTTGTTTCTGTGACAAATCACTGAGTATGATTGACTCCAAATCCATCCAAGTTGCTCCAAAGTCCATATATTTGTCCTTGTTTATGGCTGCATAATTTTCCATTGTGTATATGTACCACATTTTTTTTATCCAGTCCACCTTTGGTGGGCAACACAGTTGGTTCCATGTTTTTGCTATTGTGAATAGAGCTGGAACAAACATACGTGTGCAGGTATCTTTTTTGTAGAATAATTTGAGTTCCTCCGAGTATATTCCCAGTAGGGGAATTGCTGGGTCATATGGAAGGTCAATCTCTAGTTCTTTCAGAAATCTCCACACTGTCTTCCAAAGAGGCTGTGGCAGCTGCATTCCCACCAGCAGTGTAGAAACGTTCCTTTTTCTCCACATTCTCGCCAGCATCTGTTGTTGTTTGTTTTATTGATGATGGCCATTCTTACAGAGGTTAGGTGGTATCTCAGTGTGGTTTTGATTTGCACTTCTCTGATGATGAGTAAGGCCGAGCACTTTTTCATGTGTCTGTTGGCTGCCCGTATATCTTCTTTTGAGAAGTGTCTAGTCATGTCTTTTGCCCACTTTTTAAAGGGGCTGCTTGTTTTTTTCCTTTCGGCGCATTTGAGTTCCTTGTAGATCCTAGATGTTAGGCCTTTGTTGGATAAACAGTTGACAAATAAATTTTCCCATTCTGTGGGCTGTCTCCCTGCTCTCTTGATGGTTTCTTGTGCTTTGCAGAAGCTCGTTAATTTAATGAAGTCCAACTTGTGTATTTTATTTCTTAAGGTATTGGCCTTTAGGGTTCTGAATAGGAATTGGTTCCCAGTTCCAAATTTCATAAGGGTGTCTCCTGTGCTTTCTAAGATTCTTATTGTTTGAGGTTTTACATTCAAGTCTTTGATCAATTTAGAGTTAATTTTTGTGTATGGTGATAGGTAGGGGTCCGGTGTCAATCTTCTGCATGTGGTCAGCCAGTTTTCCCAGCACCGTTTACTGAATACGTTCTCCTCTGCCCGGTGGTTGTTGGAGGCTTTGTCAAAGATGAGTTGGTTGAGGAATTGAGGCTTTATTTCCAGAATCTCTATCCTGTTCCATTGGTCTGTATGCCTGTTCTTGTACCAATACCAGGCTGTTTTGATTACTGTAGCCTTATAGTAAAGTTTGAAGTCTGAAAGTGTGATAACTCCGGCTTTGTTTCTTTTGCTAAAGATTGTTTTTGCTATTCGTGGTCGTTTATGTTTCCATATGAATTTCTGTATTGTCATTTCTAGGTCTGAGAAGAATTATGTTGGTAGCCTAGGTCTTTCACTTCTCAGATTAGGAAGATGCCGAGGCATTTCGTTTTTTTGGTGGCTATTGTGAATGGGATTGTACTTTTTATTTGGTTCTCTGCCTGCTTGTTGTTGGTGTATAAAAATGCAACTGTCTTTTGCACATTTATTTTGTACCCTGAGACCTTCCCAAAGTCCTTTATCAGTGCAGGCAGGTTTTTGACAGATTCTCTTGGATTTTCAAGGTATAGGATCATATCATCAGCAAAGAGGGATAACTTGACTTCCTCTTTTCCTGTTTGGATACCCCTGATTTCCTTCTCTTGTCTAATTGCCTGAGCAGGACTTCGACCACAATATTGAACAAGAGGGGTGACAGTGGGCAGCCTTGTCTTGTTCCAGTTTTCAGGGGAAATGTTTCCAGCTTCTGACCATTTAGCAATATGTTAGATGTGGGTTTATCATAGATGGCACTTATTATTTTGAGGTATGTTCTTTTTTACCTAAGTGTTTGAAGATTTTTATCAAGAAGTGATGCTGGATTTTATCAAAAGCTTTTTCTGCATCTAATGAGATAATCATGTGGTTCTTGCTTTTACATCTGTTGATGTATTTAATGACATTTATGGTCTTGCGAATGTTGAAGCAGCCCTGCATCCTGCGATGAACTGATCTGAATTTTTAATACACAAGCTTTATAGCTCAGATATATACCAATTACCATAAAATAATATTTATTAAGTTTGTGCCTTTGTGTGCCATTATGCAGAAAAGCTAAATGGACAGTGAGCCTTGGAAGATGACCTGAACACTTGAAGCTCTTAGTCCACAGTCATCACTGGTGGGAAAAAATAAGAATTCTAGGCTTTGCACCATGTAAGTGTATATATGTGTGTGTATATGTTTGTGTATATAAATTTGTATGCGTTGTTGTTGATTGCAGGGCAATTCATGATGTTAAAGCCACAGATCTGGGATTGGGTAAAGTAAGATTTAAGGCAGAAGTTGATTTTGATGGACGAGTTGTTACAAGATCATATTTGGAAAAACAAGATTTTGACCAAATGCTACAAGTAAGTTTGTATATTTGTCATTTTCTTATATAGCTGAGGGCTAGAAAAATTACTTTTAAAGTAAACAAAATAATATATTTTTTACAGGTCTTAAAGTCACTTCAGCTCTCAACTACTTAGGTTTCAAAATTTGACAGTGACTGTAGAGTGGTTCAGAGGGGACAGCAAAAGAACAAACTTATTAAGTGTCAGTTCTGAGCTAGGCATTTTTGCTGTCTTACCTAGTTTACTCTCAGCATCCTGGTGAGGTAACAAAATCACACTTCCATGTTAGCGTACAGGCAGATTGAAACATGGATTAAGTGACTTGCTTGGAGTCGCAGAGCCATCTATGTGGGGTCAGATATGAGTCCAGAATCCATAATTTTCTTTTTTTTTTTTTTAAGAAGAGTTTAGAAGAGAATTTGCAGAATATAAGGAACAGCACAGAGGTTACCGCTTGCCTCTGTCAAATCTTAACATTTTACTTTACTGTGTTTACTTAAGGTCTTAAAAAAAGAAATCATTACAAAAACTGCTCAAGCCCCCATTTATCTTCTAGATCCCATTCTTCTACTTCCATCCCTAGAATTAAACATTATGCTGAATCTGGTACCTGTTATTTCCATTCAGATTTTTATACTTCTCAGCAGTTTTTAGCATAATGTATAACGTTTTGATGTTTAAAAACTGGCATAAATGCCATCCTGCTGTATCCTTGTCTCTACAGTTCGCTTAGCAGCATGTGTTTGAGATACTTCCATGTTAATTTATATATTTCTAGTCATTAACTTTCATTGTTATATTACATTCCATTTTATTAATATGCTGTAATTTATCTTGTCACCAGTTGATGGACATGTATATCGTTTCCAGTGGTAAGCTGTTAAAAACAGTGCCATAATGGCATTCTTATACATGCTTCCTTGTTCACGTATGTGAAAGTTTCTTTAAGGTAGTATATAGATAGCCAGATTTAAAATAGGTGAGCTGTTGAATGTAATCTTCAACTTGCCTAGATATTGCCAGATTGTTCTCCAAAGTGTATCGATTTAACTTCCACCATTGTGTATCAAAGTTTCTATTACTTCTATTATTTCTTACTAGAGTGTATTGGTAAGAGCTTTCAGATTTTTGCCACTATGATAGGTGTGAAATAATATGTTTTAATGTTATTTTTTGGAATAGTGAGGTTTACAAACATTGAAGTTCATTGACCATTGGGATTTCCTCTTCATTGTTCCTGGCTTTTTCATATGTTTTGAATGAATTTGTATTATTCTGACAGATTTGTGTTTTATCTTTAATATGCTAGATACTAATTCTTTGTAGTATATATGCAAGTATCTTCTACCCTTTCACTTTGTTGTTATACAGAAGATTTAATATGGTTTTTAATTATAATGTTGCATTTTCTTTTCTTCTATGCTTTGTATTCTCTTGCATGAAAAACCCTTCCATATACCATTATGGAGATTTTTTTTTTCCTTCTAAAAGTTTTATGATTTGTGTTTTACCCTCATGTCTTTAATCCATTTAGAATTTTTTGTTTAATGGTCTGAGGCAGGGATGCAATATTTCCTCTTGGCAGGAAAATAATTGCCCTGGTACCATTTGTCGAGTAGTCCACTCTTTCCCAGGAATTCTGTAGTGCTCCCCCTGGGTAGCATTGTACTCAGTGGTCTTGATCTGAATTACTTTGGAAGTAGGTAATCCATTGCCATTGGCTTAAAGTTTTAGAAATGTTTTATTTAACTTATTGGTGTTATAATATTTTTTAAAGAAATCCTCATCAGGGTACCACTGTGATTTTTTTACAAATTTACTTTCTGCTTTCATTTTCTTTATAGGAAATTCAAGAAGTAAAAACCCCTGAAGAACTTGAGACCTTCATGCTTAAACACGGAGAAAACATTATTGACACATTAGGAGCGGAAGTAGACAGACTTGAGAAGGAACTGAAAGTGAGATGTGTTCAGAAAAATAAGACCGTGATGATGGCAGCTATTTTTTTGAGCATTTACTCTACATCAGACACTAAGTGCCTCACATGCATACTCTTACCCACTCAGTAACCCTGTAATTGTGTAGGTGTTTGTAAGGAAATGATTGGGTTAGAGAAATTGGATAATTTACCTACCCAAATAGGGAAATTGAGATTTGAACCCATGTTGTTCAATTCCAAATTCTGTACTTTCAACCTCTATTTTGTGTACTGCCTGCTAAGATTCTAAAATAGTCAAAAGTTGTGCCTGTAATCCCAGCACTTAGGGAGGCCAAGGCAGGAAGATCGCTTGAAACCAGGAATTTGGGACCGGCCTGGGCAACGGAGTGAGACCCTGTCTCTATATATTAAAAATATATATTAAAAATTTATTATTTAAAAGAAGCATCTTGAAAGCTCCTATAGAAAGATAAAAGAGAAACATTAGACTCTGGTCAAAAGTTAGAAAAACTCAATGTATATCTTGCTTTTAGTCCACTTGACATTATCTTGTGTTTTTATATGTTTCTATTCAATCGGAGATTGTGGTAACTTATTGGTTATGTTGCTGAAATTTTATCTGATCAGACTACTTCTAAAAATGCTTCGGTGGGCTCAGCCTGTAATCCCAGCACTTTGGGAGGCCAAGGCGAGTAGATTGTCTGAGCCTGCGAGTTTGAGACCAGCCTCAGCAACTTGGCGAGACCTCATCTCTACAGCAAATAGAAAAAATTAGCCAGGCATGGTATCACGCTCCTGTAGTTCCAGACTTGGGAGGCCGAGGCAGAAGGATCTCCGGAGCCCAGCAGGTTGACGCTGGGGTAGCCATGAGTGTGCCACTGCACTCCAGTCTGGGCGACAGAGTGAGACTTCAACTCAAAAGAAAAAAAAAGCTTCAGTGTTCTCCAGTTGCCACTTACTGGCGTTTGAGTTCTGTTTGTAATGAGTAAAAACTTGTAAATTGATGTTTAACATACGTAGTTTGTTGAGGGCATTGCACTTTCTTCAGTTGATGTTGACCATTCTTTCATTTTGTAAAAATTGAAGGAGACCAGGCGCGGTGGCTCATGCCTATAATTCTGGCACTTTGGGAGACCAAGGTGAGAGGATTGCCTGAGGCCACTGGTTTGAGACCAGCCTGGGCAACTTGGTGAGACCTCGTCTCTATAATAAATCAAGAAAAAGTAGCCGGGCGTGATGGTGCATGCCTGTTGTTCCAGCTATTTGGAAGGCTGAGGTGCAGGTCAAGGCTGCAGTGGTTTTGAGCATGCCACTGCCCTCCATTCTGGGTGACAGAATGAGACTCCAACTCAAAAAAAAAAAAAAATTGAAGGAAAACATTTTTGTCTCCCCTTTACTAATGTTTCTTTGAAAATTCAGATATCTGATTAGATTAATAGAAATATTTTAAATAATATTTTGCTAATCTTTACAGTAATAGCTCATGAGCTTTATCTGACATAATTTTTAAAGTTTCTAGATGAGCATTTCTCAGATACTCCACTCATAAGACTATATTAATATAAATTAATTTTTATGAAAATAATCATTTTTAAAAATGAAAAAAGTAGTAAAAGGAGTGGTATTGTTTCACATTTTTGCCGAAGTCTCTTAAGTCTAGCTAATAAAAGGCAGCTAGAATCCCATGTCTGCTTTTGCATTTAATCTGTAGTGATTTGATTTTGGTAGAAGAAAACAAAGAAAAAGGTGGAGTATTCTTACAGCCTTTCGAGATAACTGTGATGGCCATAACCTGACAGCTGGAAGCCTTTTGAAGCTTCCTTGCAGTGTGGAATCTGGAACCATAGCAATGAGCATATCACATGCTATTTGTAAAGTTAGTAGGCACAGTCTGCAAGACTGCCCTTGCTTCTAATACCAATTGTGCATTCAGGGGGTTCCCAAGGCTGCCCTCCAATTTGATAGTTCACTAGGACTCTGAAGACTCACTGAATGATGCTATGCTCATGGTATGGTTTATTACAGGGAAAGGATACAGCTTAAAATCAGACAAGGGGAGAAGTCCCTAGGGCAGAGTGGAGGAAATTTCCAGACATGGAGCTTCAGTTTTCTTCTCCCTGCAGAGCGGTGGACGGTGTTACTTTCCTGGAAGTGAAGTGTGGCAGTAGCACTGAGTGTTGCCAGCCAGGGAGGCTCATCTGAGACTTGATGTCCAGAGATTGGATTGGGCTCCATGGTTTACTGCCTGAGTGACTGACCTTTGTCTCTCGCCTCCAAGAGGTAGAGCAGCTACTGTGAAGCTAAATGTAATCCACAATTCAGGCTTAGGTAATAGACCATGATTAATCCAAGTCAAAAGAGAATTCATCACAGCTGAGGTGCTAAGCCAGAAGGGAAAGCATAAGTAATTTATATTTCTTCGTCATGAAAGTAAGCTGATTTTCTTTGGAAAGTGACAACTTTCTACACTGGCATATTCCCTCAGTTTTGCTATCTCATGGTTGCCTTCCAAGTTTAAATTTTAATTATTAATGAATTGCTTTGGTAGAAGGTCATATTCCTTAGTGTAATTCTGTACCAAGTAGAGCCTAGCCATCTCTGCTGAGTAATGCCACTGAGTGCTAGAAAAGGTGATATTGGCCAGTTGCAGTGGTTCAAGCTTGTAATCCCAGCACTCTGGGAGGCCAAGGTGAGTGGATTGCCTGAGCCTGCGGGTTCAAGGCCAGCCTCATCTCTACAATAAAATCAAAAAATTAACTGGGTGTGATAGCGTACCTGTAGTTCTGGCTACTTGGAAGGCTGAGGTGGAAGGATCACTGATGCCCAGCAGGTAGATGCTGGGGTGACCATGAGCATGCCATGGCTCTCCAGCCTGGGTGACAGAGTGAGACTCCCTCTCAAAAATAAAAGGTGATATTTTTGGCTTAAAATTTAGAGCTTACATAGTTCCAGATGCGGAGCTTCAGTTGTCAAAAATAGTAAAGACTAATTCATAAATTTTGATACTATAAAATGGGAATTCCAAAATTATAAAATAAATCTTGTTATTTTTAAGTTCTTTGAGCTGTTAATTTTTTTGTCCTATCTCTATATTTCACAATGTGAATAAACCCTCCTCCTGTCCCTCCATGTTTTTTTATGTTTGGAATGAAATACTTTTAGTGGAATTAATTCACTGAGAAACTGTTAGCACAGGCGCAGCTTCTGTGTAGTCGCGTTTCCGTGTAGTCGTGCTCCCTTGCAAAGTCAATTACATCATTTGGTTTTTCTCTCCGTATGAGTGCTGGAATAAAATCTGTCTGTGGTATGTAAGCAGTCTAACTGGCATTGAGCAGTGCATGGGAAATAGTAGATTTTAAAGTATGTGTTGAATACATGAATGAAGACTATAAGTTGAACATCAGTTATTGACTTTCGGTTTTGTTTAGCACATATCAGTTTCTAGTTTGCACATGGTATTTTTTCAGATAGTAAACATTGACTTTTAAGGACATTCATCCTATTTATTCATTTATTTCTTCATTCAGCAAATATATATGTGTGTCTTCTGTGTATTGTGTACATATGTTTTACAAATTTGATCAGTTTTCTCTGAAAACTTGTTTTTTTTTTTAAGTTGGAGTCTCACTGTGTCACCCAGACTGGGAGTGCAGTGGCCGCTCCCGGCCACCGCAGCCTCGATCTGCTGGGCTCCAGCGATCCTTTCGCCTCAGCCTTCCAAGTAGCTGGAATTACAGGCATGCACTACCATGCCTGGCTAATTTTTGATTTATTGTAGAGATGAGGTCTCACCAAGTTGCCCAGGTGGGTCTCGAACCCACGGGCTCAGTCAATCCACTCACCTCAGCCTCCCAAAGGCACGGGATTATAGGCTGAGCCACCGAGCCCAGCTGAAAAATTGTTTTAAGAAAGCAAATAAATTCACTTTTTTGAGATAAGGTTTTTATTAGTCACATGTGCTACATAGATAGAAAAATGTGAAACTTTTCATGAACGGCTGGATTTTTCAAGTCACATCAGGATAGATAAGGATTGACTGGAGTAGGAAAATAAAATGGTTTCACTTCTGTTTGGAGAATTTTTTTTTATTCCACATTGAATTTAGGGAGTTCTAGAGTCAGGGAATTGTTTCAAATAAAGAAAAAGTTGAGAACAAAAGCATGCCCTCCGTGGCTGGGGTCCCTGGCCATTGTCACATCAGTGTCCAAGAGGAGAGCACCCTCCGCACATTTGGGCAACACTGGTCCCAAGAAAAGTCCTGTGTACCCAGACAGACATTGGCTGGAGCAGAGCTGTGGTACCAGCAGTTCCTGGTCCTGGGATGTTACCTTTTCAGCAGAATGATTAACCCTGCCTGGCTGCCAGAGTCACTCACAGGAGCGTTTCTCCCTTGTTGATTTGTTTTTTCATTTTTTTTCAAATAATACACAAAGTTTATGCAATCAAACAGCTGAAAAGATAATAGAAATCAGTATCACCTGCCTCACCCTCCTCATTGCTTAAGTTTACTTCTCAAAACCATTTTTAATACTCTCATATTTACATCGTATTTCAACATTGAAGTCTTACACTCTTCCCCTTGATTCCACATTATTTATTTCCTCTTTGTTAAGTGTAGAGTTAGTTTTTTGATACACACCTTTCTGTCTTCTATTCTCCCAATATTATATTACCTTTTATTAGATTTGTAATTCCCCTCCAGCTGACTGCAGTGTCTTTCCTTTGGGTACTCATAAGAGAGAGCACCCAGGACCTCTAGAACAGAGAGTTGCGATGGCCCCGCGTGAATGAGTCACCTTGCCACCAGCCATGAGTCCACGGGAGGCAGATATGTTTGCTTCCCTCTCATTGTCGGAGACTTCGGTGCCTGGCAAAGAACAGATGTGTAAGCCCAGACAGTGTTTGTTGTCTTGAATTGAAGTCCTTTAAGCTGGCAGCCTGGTTTCTGCCTGTCTTTCCGGCTTCATTTCTAACCCTGCCCTTGTCCCAACGTCTGCTCACTGCCATAGTGCCAGTGCACACGCTCCAGACTCTGCCCTCACGCATGCTGTTTCTTCTGTCTAGACACTCTTCATTATCTATCTGGAAGACTCACCATGCTCCATCCTAGCTTAGATATGTCACCCATGAGGTCTTTCTGGCTCTCCCATGTTTGTTCCCAGTGTTAAATGTTTGTTAGGGGCCTGGAGTCTGGAGTCAGGCCTGCAATCTGTCAGTGGCTTTGGACAGGCTAGTCAATCTTTCCATACTTCAGTTTTCCCATATGTAAATTGGATATACTAATTAGGTTATCATGAGGATTTTATTTTATTTATTTAATTTTTTTGAGTTGGAGTCTCACTCTTGCCCAGGCTCCAGCAATCCTTCCGCCTCAGCCTTCCAAGTAGCCGGAACTACAGGCACACACTACCATGCCCAGCTAATGTTTTTATTTATTGTAGAGATGTGGTCTTGCCAAGTTGCTCAGGCTGGTCTTGAACCTGCGGGCCTAAGCAGTCCACTTGCCTCAGCCTCCCAAAGTGCTGAGATTACAGGCTGAGCCACTGAGTCTGGCCTATTATGAGGATTTTCAAATACGTACTTGCATACCTGTACGTTAAGCCCCTAGTTCAGTACTTGACACATTAGTTAGAACTCCATGAATGCTAACTGTTCTTACTGTTAGCTCTCGTACTTTTCACTTGTAGATGGTTATTGCTGTCCTTATCTTCGATAAAAACTGAGTCCCTCTGGGTCGGAGTGGTCTTAAGCAACCCCAGCTCTGCTCTCTAGCACAGTGCCTGACCCGAGACTATATGGATTGGTGCTAAGTATATAGAACAAATGGGTACCAGTTTACTCTTTCAGATTATCATTATTAGCCGGACTCGGTGGCTCAGCCTGTAATCCCGCGCCTTTGGGAGGCTGAGGTGAGT